GAAAATGAAATACAAATAACACTGGCCTGCAAATTTTGACTTAATTCTGTTACATAAAAGATTACATCTAGATTAAATTTACGCATTTTCGATGTAGAAGACGAATCCGACCTTCAAAATGACCCATCACGTCAGGTTTTCTTGTAATATTGGCCTAAATTTCTAAAAAATGGCTAACTTGCCATTTCACGAAATTTTTTTTGGTTAACCAATTTTTTTTCATTTTAAAAAATTGCATCGTATAATACTATGTCTCAGCTTTAAAACCCATTTTTTAAAATCGTTTTACGATTTTTTCAAAAAAAGTTACGTAGACTTGAAATTGTTTTTATTTAACCGACAGATTGGCTCAGTCGGATAGATGCCTGGCGTTGGTGGTCGTTTAAGGACCAAGGGTATAAGTACCCTTGGTTCGCGCCCACTTGGCTTGGTATTTTTCCGGCACGTGAGACAATCTGAGCGGGAGGTTTGACGTCGAGGTATAATGATGTGCACCGTCGATTATTGTCCGGTACACACCATTAGAACTCGACTGTCGATAAACCGGTTGTACTCAGAGAGGTTTTCTACAGTTTCCCTCTTCTCTGGCGAGAAAACCCATTGACGGGTGGTCCAGGCGTAATGCGAGTACTCCTAATAAAAGTCGGCTGTAGACGCAAATTAGGTTAATATATAGAAAATTTCTAAAGTAGAATGGTTATGCTTAATCCAAAAAAAAAAAAAAAAAGTATTTCTCGGGGACTCTTGTCGAAGTGCGTAAGGCCAATAGGGCAGGAGTATAAACAATAAAAAAAAAAAAAAAAAAAAAAAATTGTTTTTATTTAAGCAAATTTGAGGTGGGTCAGAATTCCTCAACTGTTTTTGTCAAAAAATGAATTTTCTCGAAACTTTGCTAAAATGTCACTATTATTAGTAGAAGTGTAAATATAATTTTTTTTTTAATTTGATAGAAAATTTTTTGATTTACGGAGTTTCAAAATGTTGACTTTTTTCAAAATATATTTTTTTTGATTTAATATATTGATAGGCAAAATTAATCAAATTATAAGTGTGAATAGTGATTTTTAAAGTGTTTTTTACGAACTACAAGCTGGCAATGAAAAAAAAATGTTTTCATTCAATTTGACTTATCAATATATTCAATCAAAAAATATATATTTTGATAAGGGTCAAAATTTTGAAACTACGTAAGTCAAAAAACATTTTATTAAATTCAATAATATTTATATTTACACTTCCACTTATAATAGTAACATTTTGGCAAAGTTTCGAGAAAATTCAACAACATAAATTTTTTTTGACCTGGGCAGTTGAGAAATTTGCCTTAGGTATATAAAACAATAAAGGATGAGGTAAGTATTTTGAATTTTGAAATTAGTTTTTTTAATAAAAAAAGGATTACCTGAATTTAAACGTAATGAATGTTTTCCTTGAACAACAAAATGTATAGAATAATGTAATGAATGATTTTAAAAAGTAAAGTTATATTTTCCAATTTGTGAATAAAAACTTGTTTAAACAATTTTTTAAAATGAATTACCAATATAAAAATTGATTATATATTTTTGTTAAAAATTGTATTATTTTACCTCTACTCCGTTTCATATACTTACCTTAAACTTCAAAAGTTTGATATAACTACATTTATTTAAATGTAGCCTAAATAAAAACAATTTCAAATCTACGTAACTTTTTTAGAAAAAATCGTGAAGCGATTTTTAAAAATGGGTTTGAAAGCTTAGACATGGTATTATACGATAAAATTTTTCAAAATGGAAAAAAAAATTTGGTTACCAAGAAAAAATTTCGTGAAATGGCTAAATTAGACACTTTTTGGAAATTTATGTCAATATTACAAGAAATCCCGACGTGATGGGTCATTTTCAAACTATCAATTTTTACACTTTTTGATGATTTGTGTCCATTAAAAGTTTATTAATTATTTATACAAAGTATTTAGAGAAAGCATTTTTATCCCACAACAAAATCCCAAAAATCCTTTCCCCGCATAAATTCGTCACTCCTTTTTTTCTCATTCGCAGCCGCGCGAAGCTAGAATCGAGTCGTCACAGTTGAATTTCAATGCACCAATCGGTCGCAACACGGCTTCATATTTTTCATGATATATCAAAGACGGATTAACCTTCTTTAATTTTCGAAGACTTATTTTAAAGCTAAAATTCTAACGAAGATTGCTGTGTTTTAAAAAAAATTGTATCTAAATTTTTCTAGATTTTTGAAAAAGTTGAAGTCAAGAGACAAAAATGATAAAATTTGATAATTTTTTTATTTCTTTCTCATTCTACAACTCAAAAAAAAGTTAACAAAATTGACTTCAAAGACAGTTTATTTTAAGCAAAATGTATTCAGCTTTCTAACCGTATTTAAGTTTTTTTGTATCTGATTTTATTTCTGAAATATGATTGAAAAAGTGATAGCATGTTTTTCATAGAGTCGCGTGTAATCGTCCTGATACTTGTGGACGGTAGTGTATTGTTTGTTAATTTTTTATTAATTATTATTTACATATAAATGTGATAAATAAATAAAAATAAATAGTTCTTGACAAGCAAGTAAAATTGTGTATTTTCAAATAAATAAAATATCTGATTAAGTACTACATTTTGACGGGAAATTCTAATATCTGTTAAAAAATTTAGAATAACACGTGCGTGTATAGTGTAGTAGTATCGTTCCGGGTTTAGCTTTAGATGTATGTGCGTATGCGTTAGGGTTACGTGTTCGTGTCCCCTCAGTGTTAAAAATATTTATTTAAATATTTAATTCATAAGTTTGCGTTAATTTTAAGATGTATACATATAAGGTGAATTATGGATGTGTTCTAAATAATAATTATTTTTTCATTTAATGTTTACTTTTTATTTGTCATCGGATAATGGAAATTCGATTAAGAATTTCAAATAACTACGATAGTGTAAATCTAATATTATTATCCTGACTATTTTTCATAGCCATATTAACTAATTTTCTACACGGAAAAAAATTTCCTGTGAAAATTACAAGATTTCCTGTGCCATCTATGAACGGCGGTTGTAGTATCCACAAACGGCTGAGTTTGGGAAATACACAAACCAGAATGAGTCTTGTCACAAACTTCAGTTTATGATTCAACAGCTTATACAGTCACGCAGCAGACGACAAGCAGACGTTCACTTGAATTTTTTTGCGCATGCGTGGATTTCTTGGTGTTATTACAGATTGGTTTGTGGTACACCCAAACCAGCTTGTTGGAAACACAAAACTCGACTGCATAAAGCACAACTTAACCTATTTGTATAATTTACAAAAAAGTTTGTGTTTTCTATAAGAAATTTTTTTCCGTGTAGTCACTTTGACTATGCTTAGACCTTAGTGTTTGACTAGGTTGCCCTAGTGGATGCCTCTCGTAACCAGGCAACCTAGTCAATTCCTGGTACACGGGTACTAGGAATTTTTTTTCAGTGAAAATTTATGTAAATCGATTAATTTTTGAAAAAATTTGTACAACGCCAAAAATTCAACAAGTTAGTTAAGGTCAGGAAGAAGTCTTGACGTGAAACTTTTTTTATGTAGTTAAGATAAAGAAGAAGTATTGAAAAGAATGAATACGCTTTATATCAGTCTAAGTTTCAACGTTGTATGGGAGTGAAAATTATGTCTTCGTTACATTTAGTTAGTAGTTTTTGTCAGATTCCATTAAAAGATGAATTAGAAAAATATGCGGGATTTATTTTCGAAGGAAAATGTTATGTAGTTAATGTAGTACCATTTCGTTTAAAAACGAGTACAAGCGCATTTGTTAGAGTATTAGAACATATATTCTGCGGCTTAGACGACTTTGTGATCACTGTTATCGTCGAAATGCTGCGTACATCACAAAATATCGACTGTATCACCTAGGAAGATTGAGGAGCTTTATATGCTATAAGGAAATACGCGCCATGTCAAATAAATGCAGCGTATCTCCTTATAGATATATTTTATCTGCAAATGGAACTAGGCAAGAAGATAATTGTTCATAAATAAATTTAGAAGAAAATGAACCATAAATAGAAGCTGTTTTTACAATTTACAATTTTTTATCTTTATAAGTGAGAATTAACTTGTTCCATAGAGTTTCCCATATGTTTATGCATGAACTGCTATTACGTTTAAAATTACACTGGACTCTCGGATCTTTTGCATTACATTAAATAAATAAATGAATATTAGAATGTCAAAACATTTATTTCACGATAACTTAGGTTATCTAAAGTGAATTATAACAGCTCCTCCATTATGTGATTAAAATTACATTAAAATTTTAATTATTATAAATGTAAGTATTAAGGTATTAGTCGCGTAAAATGGTTTTCGTCAGATTTTTTTCAAATTTTGCATACTCATTCCTGAAGTATTTATCTACAGAATGAGACCAATTTCATTAATTTTTGACCGTTTCAAAGCTTCAAAAAATGAATTCAAAGTTCATACGTTTTGCATGGAGGGAGCACCCAATGCATGTATTGAATTTGTTTAATAATTATTTATATGATAACTAATCGTCAGATTTTAAAACAAAACTACCAAAGTATTCAATTAGATGAAAGAAATGAATAAAAAAAACATGACATTTTTTGACCGCACCAAACTATAAATATATTGACAAAAAGGTAAAAAAATAGTTAAATTACATGAACTTTTATACGAACGAATAGAGTGGGGAGTTAAACTGTCTCTCTCACTCTCACTGCCCCACTCTTGTAAGCGGCCCGGTAAACTTTTAGCCAGAGCCAGCTGCGCGACTAATAATTTAAAACTAAAACATAAATACTGTCATTAATTTATATTTGGTTATACGTATTGTATTGCGTTACCATGGCATATTTGTTTTGGTAAAAGGTATGAGAGGATTTGGTCCCATAAGTGTAAAAGATCCGAGAGTCGAGTGTACTTTATAAAAGAATATTTGTGTATTGTAGAGTATATTTTTTTTATAAAAATTAATTAATTTTGTCTACCTTGTATCGTTCTTTTGAAGAATGCTTTACATGCTTCACAAGATGCAACGCCATAATGAAAGCCACTTGCAACATCCCCACAAACAAGGCAAATTCTCCTTGGCATCATATCTTCCTCTTTAACTCCATTCTGAAATAAGTGTCTTTAATTTATGTCTACAATAAAATAGAAAGTGAATATAAATGTAATTCTTTTAATTGTATAACGTATCCTGTCGTTCTCAATTATCGCCATGACTATAGTTACTTTGTTTTTAAAGGACTTTCTGGTATAAGATTGGTAAAAAACAAACTTTTTTAAAATCTATTATTGTAAAAAAAAGTATTACAGTTATTGCAAAAACTCGTTTCGGATATTGTTACACTATTGGCGGAAATTGTGCGAACGCTAACATCTCGAGCTATTAAAAAACACACCCGCCCAGAAAGAGTGATAACTCCGTTAAAAATGAAGCTAAATGCTTTTTTCAAATTGCATTGGAAAGCTTATTAAATTTCCAATGAAACTAGATGCTTTTTTGAATGGCATTGGAATTACATAAATAGGAAGTGAGATATCATGTTATGAAGACAAAAAATAATTCTATTTTTTTTCGGAATTTCTTACCCTGACTTTGACTCCTGGCAAAATTTAGAAAAGTTAATGAAAAATTTAATTGTTACTTTTACAGACTATTCCTTGTAACCTAAGCCTTAAATAGAGACCAAGAACATAAAAAAAAATAAAAAATATCCTATTTATGTAATTCCAATGCAATTTAAAAAAGCATCTAGTTTAATTTTTAACGGAGTTATCACACTTTCTGTGTGAGTGTGTTTTTTAGTAGTTCGAGATGTTTACGTTCGCACAATTTCCGCCGTTAGTGTACATATTACAAGAAGAGAATTAAATAATATATTACGATTCAAGGACAGAAAGTTGAAAATCCTGCCAGGCGTAACCAATCTCGAAACCAATCAGAACGCGCAAACCACAAAAGTCACCATTCCCGGAAGAAAATTTAAACGGATACAGTGAGTTCTCGCGAGTCGTTCAATTCTCGAAAATTTTCAAGATCATAAAACTCACGAGTCGTTCAACGCATAAGCCACGCCTCCAAGGCGATTTCAGGGATGTGTGAAACATATTTATCGCCCCGAAAGACACAATATTCAATGACTTTGGTCCGTTTAAATTACACAGCACTGAGCACCGGCGCGCGCATGCTAGAAATTGAACGACTCGTGAATCGGTCACTGATCAGCTGTTGAACGACTGGCGAGTTTGAACGACTCGTGAGTTGAACGACTCGCGAGAACTCACTGTACTTTGAATTATTTTAGTTCATTTTTGCAACTGTAGGTAGCAACTTCCAAAAGGTAACTTTTTTTCAGAGAAATATTTTCCGGGCAACCTCTTTTATATTAATTAAAATTTCAAACGAGATTCTCTTCATAAGGATTTTTTCTAGACAACATATCTCAAAAACTAATTTTTTAATGTTTTGGAGTCATTTCATTATATGTGGACGTCCACAATTTAGTCATTTTGGAGCAAAATCATAAGTTTTTTTAAAAATTTTTATTACCAATCTACATGTTATGTTTTGACAAGTCGAATCATGCGGTTTTCATTAATTTATAGATAAAATTTAACTGTTTGATTTTATTGGTTCTTTAGAAAAATGAAAAGGGACCATTTTGTCGGTCATTTGCAAAAGTAATCCGTATTTTAAAAATGGAGGTGTGGAAAAATTTAAAACCTCTTGATTTTTCATCTTTAGGGTGTCCTGGACTGTAAAAACTTCTTATCTGAATAACTTCCCAGAAGAACCAAAGATATTGATGTTAAAGTCTTTTTTTTCGTAATTGTCGAAATGAAAACACAGGTTTACAAATTAAAAACTTTTTTTGCCAATCGAACGAAACATTTTTTTTTCGAATAGTAGGTATTTTTTGAGTAAGAAAATCATAGTTTAAATTTTTTTTCCCTCGTGCAGTTTTTCTGTAGCTTCAAATTTAGCATTTTCGAGGTGCGACGCCACTTAAACTTACCTGTAGGAAAATTAGCTTGCCAAAATATAATAAGTGAGGTATCATTGGAAAGGTTATTAAATCACCTTTCGATCCATAGATTATAGAATAAAATTCAATAAAAATTGAGAGAGTTACAGTCGATTTAAGATCAAATTTCATGACAATTTTGATGTTTTAGACATTTGAGTAACTTCTACTATTTTTTTCTTCATCAAACAGGAAAGAATGTTTAGGTTTTAATTTTTTTATTGATAGACTATATCATTACACAAATTATGAGCACTTGTGGACCCAAAAACCATTTTGAATTTTTGAAATCTGATATCGGATTCGTAATCAGCAACCCCGAAAACCCCCGAGTAACGAATTTAAGACAAATATTATCGATTTTTAAAAACTTGTCCGCCATATTGGATCGGCCATTTTGAAATTTGCAAAACTAACATTGCATTCAAAATCTACGACTTCAGAAACTCTTGATTAGTGATTTTAGTAACTTTAGCGCTTAACTAAATTTTATTACTTGAATTTTTGCTGCAAATGTTTAAGGGATACTAAAAATGAAGAATGTAGTTTCGTTCACTAAATTTAGTGTAGAATTGTCATTTTTAATCCAATCGAGGCCCACAAGGGCTCAAAATTTGTGTAATGATATAGTCTATCAATAAAAAAATTAAAACCTAAACATTCTCTCCTGTTTGATGTAGAAAAAAATAGTAGAAGTTACTCAAATGTCTAAAAATCATCAAAATTGTCATGAAATTTCAACTTTAATCGACTGTAACTCTCTCAATTTTTGTTGAATTTTATTCTATAATCTATGGATCGAAAGGTGATTTAATAACCTTTCCAATGATACCTCATTTATTATATTTTGACAAGCTAATTTTCCTATAGGTAAGTTTAAGTGGCGTCGCACCTCAAAAATGGAAAATTTGAAGCTACAGAAAAACTGCACGAGAGAAAAAAATTAAAACTATGATTTTCTTACTCAAAAAATACCTACTATTCGAAAAAAAATGTTTTGTTCGATTGACAATTTCACTGTAAACCAGTGAAATTTAGATATTGCGTCAATTTTTTCATAATAGAGACTATCAAAAAATTTTAAATATGTTTAATATCTCTTCTTTTTCTTCAAATGACACAATAAAATTGTACCTAATCATTAATCTTGTAAAAAAATGGTTTTTTAATAGAAAAACTGTCCTTTTTAGAAAAGGGCCCATATTGTCGATTTTTCGAATTTTCAAAATTAAGAGGGGTGGGGGGGTGGTTTTAAAAATTTTAAACCTATTGGTTTTTTATCTTCAAGGTGCCCTGAACTAGAAACAATTCTTATCTGAATAACTTCCAAGAAGAACCAGAGATACAACAATTAGTTGGTATTGCAATCTTCAATTCCGTTTTTTTCGAAATGAGGTTTTTGGCGTTCTAAACTTTTAAATTCCGTAACTCAGCGAATTTTTAACCAAAAAAGTTCTAAGACCACTCAAAATTTTCCAAATTTTTCCAGAAATACACCCATATAGATAACTCCAATAGTGCCAAAATGGACCCTTTTCATGATGACGTCCACATATTTCGACTAAAGTCGTTGCCGACTAACTTTAAAAAATTATAATATTTTGCAGGAATTATTTTAAGGGGCACACCTAGTGTGAGTGACTGAAAAAACGTCGATTTTTAGAAATTTTTTTCAGGGAAATTATTGCATCTAATTTTTTTTAAAGTTTTGTACATGTATATTTGTATAAATAGTGAACATTTTGTAATTTTTGCAAAGAAAAATATCTTTTTTTAAAGAGTTATTCGCTATATCCAAAAAAAACAGTTTCTCCACTGCTGCAGTTATTGCGGCCATCTGAGTGACTGAAATCAAAAAATCCAAAAAGATTATTAAACTAGAAGATATTTGCCATACTATGAGGCTCCAGTTTTTTTTTTTTTTTGGATGAAAAATAAAATTTTGGGATGCCAAAAACTATCGGATTTTTTAGGCAAAATTTATAAGCTTTTTTCAAAACTCCGCCATTTTGTTGCAATTCAATATTTTTTTTCTTCCGCGGGTCATTGTACGGCAAATATCTTCTAGTTTAATAATCTTTTTGGTTTTTTACATTCTCATCATATGAGAAAGTATTAGTTTTGGTCGAAAATTGACTTTCGCTAATTTCATGAAATCTCGACGTTTTGGGGTCCCCTGAGTCCGAAAAACATGGTCTAAAAAAAGTGTCTGTCCGTATGTCTGTCTTCGTGTTTATCTGTAGACACAATGGTGTCCCTACGATAACTCTTGAAAAACTTATTGCATCAACTTGCAACTTTGCATGCACAAAGTTAGTGTTAAAATACAGGTCGAGTTCGTTAGCCAGCCATTTTCGTCGAAAACTACGCAAACTACAGTAGTTTCAAAATTTTAAAAATTCAATTTTTTCAAATTTCATTATTTTTAACTTTATATTACTTTAGATTAGACAAATACAAACAACTTTTCTCTACAACATTTTTTCATAGAAAATTAATTTTTTTTTTTAAGTTTTTGGGTCAGGCTAGCTTAACTGGGTTAAAAAATTTTTATTGATTTTCTAAAATGTTATAACTAAAATATATTCATAAAAATTTTAACATTTTAGAAAATCAATGAAATTTTTTTAATGCAGTTTGTCTGGTCTGACCCTTTTTTACATTTTAATTTTTGGTCCTATCTTGTTGGAAATGGTTTTTTACATTCTAATCACATGAGGAGGTATTAGATTTGATGAAAAATTGACTTTTTATACCTCAGGTTGAATGAAAATGGCGACCTTTTTTTCTCATGGGCAAAAAAACAGCTAGTCCCATGCGTTATTTTTGCTCATGGAAAAAAAATGCCGCCATTTTCATAGAAGTCGAACAAGTGAATGAGTTTTACTCCCTGTCGTCTGCTATCTTAAATCGCCACTTTTGTGCCTTTGGAATAAAAAATATCGTAAGTTACACGGGACTTAATGGCTGCCTTTACGGTACATTGTTGCTTAAAATACTATTTGCTAATTTTATGAAATCTTTGCGTTTTGAGTTGCTCTGAATCCAAGAAACATGGTCTGTCGATTACGTCTTTCTGTAGGTCTG